CAGTTGTTTCAATTTAGATTCCAGAAATAAGAAAATATATCATATTACAGTACATGAAGAATAAAACGATGTTAAACAGTTGTGACATAATACCGAGGAAATTATGTCTCTTCCCTCTGAGCTAATTCACCCAGTGGACAATGATAAAATATGTTTCTATCAGTGTGATACCAGAAAACCAATTTCTTATAACGTTATTTGCTGAAGGGGTACAGTAATAGTCAGTCAACCAAATAATTTTTTCACAGTAAGCGGTATAGTACATCAGTAGTAGTAATAATAATAATTGCTAGGTAAAGTTGATATATATATTTAAGGAAAGATGTATTTATGCTTTCCTAGGTGGCAATTTCTAACTAAACACAGACTCATGATAATTTCACAATGACGTGAAAATAAATCATAGCGATATACAATATACAATTTCTCCACTTCAGATGGACTCACCTGCAACGATTATGGATCAAGCTAACCAAGGTGAAGCATAACATGATTTGAAGAATGAAATACTCGCGCAACGTTTGGGAATCTTTAATGAGGAAACGTTTCGCCAGCCAATGGCTTCTTCAGCCCAATACAGAGAAGAACAGCGGAAGATGAAAAGTTTGAGGTAATCAGTCCCTCAGCCTGGAGTCGATGTGTTCAGTCCATTAATATTGAGAACTGTACATTTCTCAAGATTGATGGACTGAACACATCGGCTCCAGGCTGAGGGACTGAATACCTCAAACTTCTCATCTCTCACCGTTCTTCTCTGTACTGGACCGAAGAAGCCACTGGTTAGCGAAACGTTTCCTCATTAAAGACTCCCAAATGTTGCACAAGTGCCTCATTCCTCAACTTGTCAGTTTTCTAAACCATTTACATCACATAACATGATCTGACTTGACCTCCATTAACCTGACTACCAGTAATTTTGTGGAGAATGCCACCCACCTCGATGCGAATCATTGCCCTGCAACCACATTGTATTTTTACACGAACTAAAGTTTGGAAGTGATACAATATGATTTGTGATTAACACTCTCTTCTCTCTGATATATAAGACATATGTAACACTTGTGTTGTACATGTGTCTTCCTCACAGACTTGTTGGTAATGAATACCACCAACAATATAATTATCAAATTTAAATACTAGTTTGCAATTATCACAGTCACTCCCTATGAAAGCAAAAGACTCGACAGGCGGTGCAACATCCCCCCCTCCCCCAGTGAAAAGCAAGGGCGCCATGAGTAAGAGACAACACAATGAGTGTTAGGGGCAAATTCGTTCCACAAAATAGAGCGAAAAACCAACGTCAAAGACCTGGGAGTGATCATGTCGGAGGATCTCACCTTCAAGGACCATAACATTGTATCAATCGCATCTGCTAGAAAAATAACAGGATGGATAATGAGAACCTTCAAAACTAGGGATGCCAAGCCCATGATGACACTCTTCAGGTCGCTTCTTCTATCTAGGCTGGAATATTGCTGCACACTAACAGCACCTTTCAAGGCAGGTGAAATTGCTGACCTAGAAAATGTACAGAGAACCTTCACGGCGCGCATAACGGAGATAAAACACCTCAATTACTGGGAGCACTTGAAGTTCCTGAACCTGTACTCCCTGGAACGCAGGCGGGAGAGATACATGATTATATACACCTGGAAAATCCTAGAGGAACTAGTACCGAACTTGCACACGAAAATCACTCACAACGAAAGCAAAAGACTTGGCAGACGATGCAACATCCCCTAATGAAAAGCAGGGGTGTCACTAGCACGTTAAGAGACAATACAATAAGTGTCAGGGGCCCAAAACTGTTCAACTGCCTCCCAGCATACATAAGGGGGATTACCAATAGACCCCTGGCTGTCTTCAAGCAGGCACTGGACAAACACCTAAAGTCGGTACCTGACCAGCCGGGTTGTGGCTCGTACGTTGGATTGCGTGCAGCCAGCAGTAACAGCCTGGTTGATCAGGTTCTGATCCACCAGGAGGTCTGGTCACAGACCGGGCCGCGGGGGCGTTAACCCCAGGAACTCTCTCCAGGTAAACTCCAGGCCCAAGACTGCTCAACTGCCTCCCAGCATATATAAAGGGGATTACCAATATACCTCTGGTTGTCTTCAAGAGGGAGTTGGACAGGCACCTAAAGTCATTACCTGACCAACCGGGTTGTGGTTCGTACGTTGGATTACGCGCGGCCAGCAGTAACAGCCTGGTTGATCAGGTCCTGATCCACCCGGGCCGCAGGGGCGCTGACCCCCGGAACTCTCTCCAGGTGAAGGGCTACGTGGAATTCCATAGTTCTGGAACCTTTAACAAAGTTCTGATTTTAAACATTATTTAAAGCTCTTTAAAAATGTTCAGGTTTATCAATACGTAGAGCTAGGGATTGAAACATCCGTACGTCTCGGTATCAATGAGCAGTTCTAATTGGGCGTTGTAAGTTTATTCAGGTATACACAAATAGTTACATAGATTAGCATACATAGCAGCATATAGCAGTTATTTGTCTAAAATTACTATCTAACTTGCCTTGCCTTATGACATTTTCACTCGTCTACGAGAGGAAACCGATACTTTCTTGGAAAACATAAATAACCTAATCAGGGTATCCTTCTTATTCTTATAATGAGAGAAATTTCGCTATTAGAGTGTACTGTTTACCACAAACCTACACATCTGCTAACTAGATATCAATCAATCAATTTTTATTTCCTTGCAAGATTACATTGAGATTATGAAATTACAAAAATGAGTTGCAGTGCAAAGAGCCACTATCATGCTTAGGCATTATGGGCAGACTTAATCTAATGGCTTACTGACTACTTAATACTAAAGAAATTGAACATAGTATGTTTAATTTGAATATCTTGTTTATTTATAGTACACGGTAATTTTACTCAAATTACAATAGTTTCAGTTGTAAATATTGAAATTATGTTATGGGAATATAACATTGCGAGTTGTTGAAAGTAGTTTACAGTATGAGAATGCTACAATTATGCGTAAGGCAGTAATGTTTTGGGAAGGTATTTATACTACAAGGCAGTTTTAATCAATGTATGAACTTTGGGCGACACGTTTTGAAGTTTTAAGATTTAGGTAATTGAGAGATTTTTTTTTGGTAAAGTTCAATACTGAGTATTTAGTTTAGGGCGAGTAAATGGTTTTTGAGAAGAGTCCTAAACTGATGTTCAGACCGGGTTACTTTAGTATTTACTGGTAATGAATTCCAAATTTTGGGGCCCTTTATGTCTACCTGGAGGGAATTCCGGGGATCAACGTCCCCGCGGCCCGGTCCACGACCAGGCCTCCCGGTGGATCAGGGCCTGATCAACGAGGCTGTTACTGCTGACCGCACGTAATCCAACGTACGAACAACAGCCCGGCTGATCCGGCACCGTCTTTAGGTATCTGTCCAGCTCCCTCTTGAAGACAACCAGGGGTCTTCCCGTAATGCCCCTTATTGCTGGTGGGAGGCTGTTGAACAGTCTTGGGCCCCGGACACTTATTGTGTTTTCTCTTAGTGTACCAGTGACGCCCCTACTTTTCACTGGGGGTATGTTGCATCGCCTGCCAAGTCTTTTGCTTTCGTATGGACTGATTGCTGTGTGCATATTAGGGACCAGTCCTCCAGAATCTTCCAGGTGTAGATTATGATATATCTCTCTCGCCTGCGCTCTAGTGAGTACAAGTCAAGTGCTTCCAGGCGCTCCCAGTAGTTAAGGTGTTTGATGGAACTTATACGTGCAGTAAAGGTTCTCTGTACATTCTCTAGCTCTGCAATTTCACCTGCCTTGAATGGGGATGTTAATGTACAGCAGTATTCCAGCCTAGAAAGAATAAGTGATTTTAAAAGGATCATCATTGGCTTAGCATCTCTTGTTTTGAATGTTCTCATTATCCATCCTATCAGTTTCCTAGCAGATGTGATAGTGGCATTGTTGTGATCCTTGAAGGTGAGATCCTCTGACATTACCACTCCCAGGTCTCTCACATTACTTTTCCTCTCTATTGTGTGATTGGAGTTTGTAGTATACTCAGTTCTTGTTATTATTTCCTCCAGTTTTCCATAACGGAGTAGTTGGAATTTGTTTTCATTGAACATCATATTGTTCTCCGTTGCCCACTGGAAAACTTGGTTTATATCTTCTTGGAGGTTAACAGTGTCCTCAATGGACGACATTCTCATGCAGATCCTAGTATCGTCTGCAAAAGATGATACAGCGCTGTGGTTTACATCTCTGTGTCTGATATGAGAATAAGGAACAGGATAGGTGCGAGTACTGTGCCTTGTGGGACAGTGCTCTTCACTATGGCAGCATCTGATTTAACTCTGTTTACCACTACTCTTTGTGTGCGATTGGTTAGAAAGTTGAAGATCCATCTGCCTACTTTGCCGGTTATCCCTTTAGCACGCATTTTGTGTGCTATTACACCATGGTCGCACTTGTCAAAGGCTTTTGCAAAGTCTGTGTATACTACATCCGCATTTTGTTTGTTTTCCAGTGCATCTAGGACCATATCATAGTGGTCAAGCAGTTGCGAAAGGCAGGAGCGACCTGCTCTGAAACCATGTTGCCCTGGGTTGTGCAATTTTTGGGTAAGTAAGTAAGTAAGTTTATTCAGGTATACACAAATACAGTTACATAGAATTATCATACATAGCAGCATATGTGTAGAGAACCTAGGATAACCCAAAAAAGTCAGACAGAGTGACTTATTTCCATTGGGGTCCAGGTGGTTTGCTATCCTGCTTCTTAGAACTCTTTCAAAGATTTTTATGATGTGGGACGTTAAATTATTATTATAATAAAAAAGAAGCGCTAAGCCACAAGGGCTATACAGCGCCGCAGGGCAGGAAGGAAGCGAGGGCATCAGGTGGCAAAAGGGAGGTGGATGAGTAATAGGTTATGGATAACAGCGGAGCAGTGGATGGTGAAAGGGTAAAGGGCAACAAGAGACTGAGCTAGAAAGGGCTGAGGGGAGTGCGTAAGGTATCATCA